CATTGCATGCTTCATTCCAAATGCATTGAAGCCTGACAATTAACGAATCCCTTGCGTGGCTGGAACCAATTAAGATATTGATTACACGTGAACTCAAGACCTCGGTTGAAGACAAATTATCCTCGGTAACTTCAGCGAACCCATCTCAGCTTTCTCTGTCTTCACGCTTTGCACAGTCATTATCATATTTAGTGTATTTTCACTCTCAGTCATTCTGGTATGCACTTTAAATGCGTACGTATTTAATTACCCCATTTCCCTCTCTCCCTCTCACACAATAGATGTTCTTACTGATTGATCATTTATGCATTAAAAATAGAATTTATCATGTCCCGTTGTCAGTTATCCATTATAATAGAGTTGCATCGATCGCACATACCTACCTTTTTCACCGCGTATCGACTGGTGTGTTTTTGCCTCCGGGACACCTGCATACCTACCACCTGGGCTAGCCAACCGCTATCGACCGGTCCTGTCCAGCCAATGTTGTACCGAGTTCCCCGGGGCGGACTGTACCGTTCGCGCAAAGCCCGCCCGGCCGACAATGGCAATAGTGCCGCTGATCCCCGGGGCAACGATCGGCCTTAATTTCCCTCCCCTGTTCGCTCTGTGGAACTAACAAACAGCTGCAGCACACCGCTGATCACGCACGTTACCACCCCAGCACGTGCCAGATACCAACACGTCACCACGCACGTAACCACCCTCACACGAGCCAGGCACCGATCGATCCATGGAATTTACCGACCAGCCGGGGTGGCTAGCTTGCTGAATCGATCACCGTTGTGTGTGCGAATACGTCGATCCAGCTCCCTCCCCGACAGACAAACAGCCTATGTAAAATCAATGCGCGCTCGCCGTAAGCGGCAGTAAGCAGCACCACCTGCCGCGGAAATGCGGCGTCATCGGCCTCGTTACAGCCACCGGACGGTGAGAGCCAGCTGTCCCGGTGCGGTGGTGGGCCGGCTGCCGGTGACCCCGGGGCGAGCAGAGGTCAACCCCCGGCCGCCGGGTCACACCCGCGTGGGAAGGAGGAAGGCGGTCACTTCCTCCCCGCTGGCTGTGGACCGGTTGTGGACTGAGTGTGGGCCGGTGGAGGCCGGGCAGTAGACTGGCCGTATGACTGAATGTGGACTGAATGTGGACTGAATGTGGACTGGCAGTGCACTAGCTGTATTGACCGACATGCACTAACGGCAGTGAGCCGGCTTAGTTCTGGCCAACGACTGACTAAAGGTCACTCTTTGACCACCTGTGGAGCGGTCTTTTGACTGTCCGTGGACCGACCATGCATGGATCGTCCATACGTCCATAGGCCGGATGTCGGCCCACTCAGCCACGACACTACCATTCAGTGCCGTCAGCCTGCGAAGCGGCGCAGCGGCCGGTAAAGCTCCTGTAACACGGGCCGAACACGGGTCGACTTCAGCCGCTCATTCACAAACGCGGCCGAAATCGCCCACGGCGGCAGGCCGAGACCAAATAACTGAACTGAACAGGTGTGGGTAATTCCGCGGTCCCTGTCTTCCCTCCAAAGCGATAGCCGATACATTCACCCCATCGCCGCCTCACCAGGTTCTACCAGCTGCTGCCCGGCGCCATGGCCATACCGGGCGATAAAAACGGGTCTGAGCCGCAACAAAGGGCCGGGCGCGGCGGCCCAAGCTCGACGGGCCGGCAGCGGTGCTCCCCACTCCCACCGGAGCGGACCGGCGCGGCTGAGAGTGGCCGGCTGTGGTCCATGGTCCATGACCGATACCGATCAACGAGGACCGGCAGATGGTCCGAGCCTGGGACCAGAGCGGTCCCACTGCCGCTGGGAGGAGGATCGGTGTTCAGGTGCTCGGCAGTTCTCCGTTAGGTGAGCAGTTGTAGCATATCGGCGATGAGTGGATGCATATAGTCGTCGATGCATTTGAATTTACCCTCTAAACCGAAGCCTCATGCTCCTGCTCCACTTCCAGTTTCGTCTCCAGTCTAAAACCCGTTCCCACCTCCCAATCCCGATCTTCCCAAGCTCCTCCACAGTTTAGCTCCAGACCGGCGCCGGTGCCACGCCCCTCTACGGCGTACCAAGTGTTTTTGCCATCAGTCCGAGCAGTCAGGAGGCCATTTCGGGCGTCTCGGTTAGCCTGCGGCTGGCCGGGCAGCCTCCAGGCCACGGCCCGTGACATTGACCCGCTCGCCCCCACGCGGCGCGCGTTGCACAACGGACGACACAGGGCGCGTGGCGCAGCGGTCGGACAGCGCGTGGGTTGCCCGCGCTATCTCCGACCGGTGCGGAAATCTGGTGTGGGCGGTACGGGGAGGAACGGTACCTGGCCTCCAGTCAGGACACGGATGTATGAAGGGGAGACACGGTATATCCTTCTAGTCAACGGACAGAGACACATGCAGGAGAGAAACATTCCCTGGCTCCCAGTCAAATGACGGAGAAACAGTAGAGAAGTGCTGCCTCTCCACCACTTTCAGGAAAAGGAAGTAAAGGGGAGAAACGGTACATTTTCTAGTCAACAGGCACTAGGCGGCGGTACAGAGGAATAACAACCTTACACAGAATTCCAGCCAGCAGAGAAGAAGTCAAGAGCTCCTTTCAAGGTCAGCAGCAGTCAGGCGTTTCAGCAATTATCTCCCTCAGAGGAAATGTGTGCGCACCACATGGCCGCTGGGTAGATGAAATGGGATGAATGCTGCTACTGGCAGTTGTTAGCGAGATTACTGTTCATATCTGCCACTCATGATGGCTGCGAAACCCAGACGTCAGGTGCAAGCATGAAGTAGTTCTGCGGCTAAGACTGAGGAAGTCAGGTGGGCACTCCCGGCGGAGCGCATCACCCACGAAAGGCAAAGCTCGACTATGTGGGAGTAACTCCGGTTATCATAGGTATCGTGTGACGGACTGTGATTCCTGCCAAGCGGTGGATATGTCTCAGGAATTCGCCGGCGGAATTAGGTCGGTCCGTCGGCATGAAGCTGGAAACGAGGCCGACGCATCGACAACACTCTGCACTCGCGCTGTAGCGCCTTTGGGTCGTCAGCAGCTTCTCAATAACGACCGTTCATCACATAAACAATCTCAGGGCACTGTCCGACAGGTTCACTACTCTGTACCGACAGAGACCCTAGCCTGCAGGCGGCGGCCGTCCCCATTGTCCGGCAGGGAAGAGGGGTCGAGGACCGGTGCTATCACCGAAACAAAGGCGAAATACCTCCGGAGGCTGACACCAGCCGTTCAGCCTTCAGTGAGGTCCACCGGTAGGCTTTGTTGACTATCATCAACGTGTTTGATGATCCCCCACGGGGTTCTTTCGCATATGGTGACCACAGGAAGAGACACGGGCCGTTTTTTTCGTGCCAGTCACCTCGTGCTGGTTTCGTTGTTGCCGCCCCCACCTTCCGCGGCCGGTGGAACTCCTCAGCTATATATGGGAGGGCTCAGAAGGGTGGCTCGGGAGGAGCACAGCTTCTCTGTGCAGAGAACGGGGTCCAGGGGTGGCCGATCTGCGCGTCGACTGGTCCAGGGCTGTCCGACCTGTGTGGCAGCGATTGCTGAAGGCTCTGACCCGTTCTTTTCGGTGTGTTTGACGGATTTAACTAATACATATCTGATATGACTTGAGTGTCATGATTAAAAAACTTTTCTTCAGGACTATATGTAATTAATGTTTATGTTTTTTTCGGAGTTGTTCAAGAGGATAGGTACAAATATTACATTTATTCAGATATTTCGGTACTCGTTGTGGTACCTTCATCGGTGAAATGGCGCACAAAGTTTCGGTTCGTAGTTCGACAATCACATACAATACAAAAACACGCGACAACGTCATCTAAAAACCTACACTTTAAATATGCCTGAGAAGACCTAATTACCTAAACCTAATTTAGCACCAAGCATATTACAGGCAATCTACCACCTGTTGGTGACTTCTTGTTTTATAATAAAACTACAACTGTTGGGGACAAACTTGTAATGTAAGGTTCACAATGGGCGTAATTGTATGACAAAATATACGAAAAAACGATATGAGAAAAGGTGGCGGCCGCTGGGTGAATACTAGAGGTTCTATAAGCTAGCGGTTTGAAGACGACGATACTATGTATGCTGCGGGTCTAGGTTAAGAGAATATCCCATATGGGGCTCAAACGGACGCCGCCCTCGTCAAGGTTCATAGTGGCCTGTGGCGTTAGCTTGACCTCTATGGCTTCTCGGACCTTGCGCCTCTTCCAGTGACCTTCAGTGGCTAGCGTCTTGGCGGTGAGTGGGTTCAAGTCACCCCTGCAGGTGCTGAAGTGTCTTGCTGTAGCAGACTTGTCCAGCCGTGCGTGCTCTAGTATTCACCCAGCGGCCGCCACCTTTTCTCATATCGTTTTTTCGTATATTTTGTCATACAATTACGCCCATTGTGAACCTTACATTACAAGTTTGTCCCCAACAGTTGTAGTTTTATTATAAAACAAGAAGTCACCAACAGCTGGTAGATTGCCTGTAATATGCTTGGTGCTAAATTAGGTTTAGGTAATTAGGTCTTCTCAGGCATATTTAAAGTGTAGGTTTTTAGATGACGTTGTCGCGTGTTTTGTATTGTATGTGATTGTCGAACTACGAACCGAAACTTTGTGCGCCATTTCACCGATGAAGGTACCACAACGAGTACCGAAATATCTGAATAAATGTAATATTTGTACCTATCCTCTTGAACAACTCCGAAAAAAAACATACACATTAATTAATACATATCTGTTAAACCTACGGATGATGTCGCCTGACTTTTGTACCATTACGGATTCGGCGCAATGCCAAATAAATTACAGTCGATCCTCTGAAAGTGGCGAAGTTTTATGCGCGCAAGTAATGCATAGTGTATACTGCATACCAGCTACCTGACACATTCTACACGAATTCTCCATTGCATTCCCCTTCCGTGCTGTGACTACAGCCCCACGGCGGCCCATGCTGCACCTGCAGGCGGCCGGGCCGTTCGGCCGGCAAGGTTCCTGACCTGGCACCGGTGCGGAACCGCAGCTGCACGTCCGGGCTGGGCTCGATGCTGCGCCGCACGCGCCGGTGCTGAGCCGCCAGCGCCGACGCGTCGTACTCGATGAGCTCGTAGTGGCGGATGAAGTCGTTCAAGATGGTACCTGAAGGGAGAGAGATGTTAGAATTTAGAGGTGACGTAAGGGAAGGCGATGGGAGGAAATTCATAACTTACAGAGATGCGGAGAGGGAAGGAGCGTCAGCTGGAGGCGTCGTTTGGATTCGCTGGCTCAGAGATTCATGGTAAAATAGGTGTCGTGATCATTTAGATGTTCGATTTGAGAGGGATTTGTGAGATTATTCAGTTCGTGGGTGCAGCAAGTTTGAGCTGATTTGCCGTCATCTGCCGTTTCTTGGCAAAACTATAAGGCGGGATGCAAACTAGCCATGAGTCTCCTCACATGGTTCTTGTTGTCTCAGAGCATGACAAGAGCACTGAACATGACATACGGCCGACTTTGGACATATACCCAACTCCAAGACAAGGAACAAGCCAAAGAAAAGCATAACCAGGACATACGAGTCAGCCCTAGGTCTAGGCAAAGCACGGACAGGATACGAGCCGGCCTCGCTCCTAACCAGGAAACTCGTGCAGTGTGCGCTGTACGTCAGTGTAACAGAACCGGTCCTTGCGGGAGGCCCCAGTCGGGTGTGTTGGTGTACCCAGTCACAGGTCTATGTGTGTCGGGCTGTGGGCGATTTGGTGCCGCAGCATTGACGATGAGTCAGCAGCGATGGCGGTCGAAATGGTGGTATCGACGAAACAAGCACGAACAGGATATGGCACTGGGCGAACTCAAACCACGGGACCCACAGACCTGGATTTTGGAACTTATTACGCATGTATGGTGTTTGGTTCAGGCTTTTTGGTTTAGGATGCTGACGTTATTTGTATCTACATAGTGTACGCTGGCTGACCACTGGCTATTGGTTGCAGTGAAGGGAGCCGCACCCCTTGCAACCGCAGGCCGATCGCCAGAATCGGACGAGTTAGCCCGTGAATCACCACTTTACAGGTTTCCAAAGGCTTTCCGTGGATCGGTTAATAATGGACCGACGAACAGATGGGCAGACGGACAGACGGACTGGGATAGACGGATAGACAGACAGATGGACAGACGGACAGACGGACAGGTAAACTATAGGATATCGTGCCGTCTCGAATATGAATATTGTATATAGCACAGTCCGACAGAGGCTGACGGCCGGCCGTCGGCTGTCATAGAGACGTTAACGAGAGCACAAGAGCGTATCTCGGGTTAGGTCGGTCCGTCCGCGATCGTCTGGTGCAGGTAGCCGTGACTGCGGAGGTCGAAGGTGGATGCTACTTGCGAGGTGGACAGAGTGGACCAATGAGTGGGTAGATACATGATCGTTATTTATTTTCAGATGAGTGACCAGTGACTATGGCCATTGGCCAATTATTATACGGCCAGTGATTGGGGCAGTTTTTGATGTCCGGGCAGGCTGGGTTGCCGGCGTTGTGTATAATGACAGTTTTCAGTGGACGCAAGGTTGGCTCCGTGTTCAAACACAGTGGACAGTTGGACACACAGTCCGTGGTCCGAGGTGAGACACAGTGGATACCTAGTCCATCCCGAGGTCAGACCCGTCAGACAGTTCAACTCCCAGTCTGTGTTTCGAGGTCAAACACAGTGGACACCAGCCTGTACCGAGGTCAAACACAGTGGACACCAGCCTGTACCGAGGTCAAACACAGTGGACACCAGCCTGTACCGAGGTCAAACACAGTGGACACCAGCCTGTACCGAGGTCAAACACAGTGGACTAGACACACAGCCTGTACCTAGGTCAAACAGCGGACAGTTGGACAGGCAGCCTGTACCGAGGCCAAACACAGTGGACATTTGGACACACAGTCCATCCTGAGGTCAGACTAGGTGAGCACGAAGTCTTCCCGCGAGGTCCAACTCTTCGGACTCCAGGGTCCGGGCCGATCCGGTCACGATGCACGGCGATAAGTGGGGAGATACGTGTGACGCGGGCCGCACCCTCGGCCGGCCCGCAGAACCAGTCCGCGGCAGTCGGAGGGCTGGCTTTCTAACAAGCATGACGTGCCGTGTGCACTGTGCAGGCTTTGCGATAGGCAGGGTGGTCGAAAAGACCAGCTGGGCGTCCCAAGTTCCACTCTTAGGAAGTGGGATGTCACAGATCTCAATAATGTAGATCTCTTAGGATGTAAAGTGACAGTACTTATTTGACATAGCTGATCAATCAACATCCTGTCAAATTGGGGCATCTAAAGCCTACTGCTCAATCCATACCAAATAACTCATCTACGAGTACATAGTCAGCCAGCGGCCAGCGCTGCAGTGGATGACGACTCACCTCTCGCGACGTTGACGCTCGCTCCAAGCACCAGCACTAACACGAGCACCAGCACGAGCGGCGGTGCGGTCCGTCGCGTCACCATCTCCGACGGCATCTGAGGCCCGTCAGGCGGCTCAGCAGCTCGCCATCGTGCACCGCACACCGCACACGCACCGACACACGCGCACTGCAGCCGCCCCCGCAGCGCACCGACCGCCGGCACTCCGCCGCCCTCACCGACTCGTGCGTCTTTGTGCCGCCACCGCGCCGCCGCCGCCGCCGCCGCCGCTCCGGCGAGGTCAGCTGGCGCGGAGAACGGGCCGTGACGTCACGGCGCTGAGTCGCTGACGTTACGACGGCCGCCGCCGGCGACTGCGGAGGCGGCAGAGGCGACGAGCGCGTGGTGGACTCCGAAACGGAAAATTTGACGAAGAAGCATTGGCCACGCTGCCACAAGCAGTTCGACATCAGATAATTTGGAGTTTCGCTAGGTGATTGATGGTTTGTTTCATGGAATGATAAGTGTTTGTTTTTTAATGCCTAAATTTCGTACCGATATCTGCCACAGGAATTGCTTCGAATCGTCAAATGCGATTTGTTGTAGCCATCGAGGCGAGCCAGGCGTTCTTAGTAGGTACTAGGTACAGAGATGCACCATTTCATAAATCATCCGCTGTCATCAGTTCAGCTTTTACCGCGCCCACACCCGTAGGACCGATTCCGCTAGGCGGATTAATTATTCTGCGGGGCTCGATATTGCACAATGCTCTGCAGTCTGCATGCCAACACTTGCAGGGCAGACAGCAAGCCATAGTAATTGACCACTGCACTGATGCAGGACAATCCACTTTGCAAGCCACTGTCAAAAATCGCTTGAGGACCGGTTTGGCTGCGCGCTCTGGTATCGCCCGACACCCGGCGAAATAACAGCATTAGGGGACTGTGAGTTGTGTGGCAACTGGCAAGCAGTGCTCGGTTTTAGCTGAATTCCGGGAAATGATTATCATCGGTGAACAATCACAGTTCATGGTGGTGGCTACTCTGAAGAACAAGGAAAACGCTGCCATCAAAAGGAAAAATGGTCCATGAAAAACTAACGGCTCACTTTCGCTATTTGGACACTGGACTGCTACGCAGCAGTCTCCGGAGCATGTAACTAAGTTGTGTTCAGTCTGACCTTGCGCCAAAATTCCTTCATGAATGCAAATATTAACCCGCGCATGACTGGGGTATTTTCCATAACGCGAGTGACTGAGGGGAGGGGGGCTCTCCAGAACCCCCCCCCCCCCACCTCCTTTCTCCGAAACTACTCGGCCAATCGTCAAAATTCAAACGGTGTCTGATAGCCCTGGAAAAACTGTCGAGCGAAACCTATTTTCATTGACCTCGAGGTCACCGATGACGTCCCAGGTTAGGTCAAAGTAAAAATTATCGGCATTTTTGCTTGTTCACAATTCAGGCTCTGGCCGCCGGCTGACAAATCCGATCAGGCTCATTTTTGGTTTACGCACTCCTTGATATATGCCTTAGATACCCTGAGGATACCAAACTTTTACTTCGAATTTAAATGTGGTGTGTATATGTGTTCGTGGGTTGAGGGTGAGAGGGGGAGGAGTGCTTAGGCCATATTGCCAGTTTCATATTAATGCATTAGAAAAACGTGGTGCGTAGCGCCGCGAATGAACATCGTGAATAAAAAATCATTTGGACAGGCCGCGCTAAAATGCCGAACCCAGGTCACCTCAGGTAAGGTCACCAGGTTAAGTTACCTCGTATAGCATTTTTGGGCATGTTTGCTTATGAGTTATTCATCAATTTACTAAAAAGTGCTGAATGGGGAACATTTGACCTTTCTTAACATTTAGAAGACTTTGTAGCCTGAGCTAGGAAGGACCTAAATATTTATGAAAGGAGTCTTTTGAGGCTATCAAATACTTTTATTCGCGCCCTTTTCCATCTCTTTCAGTTACATCATCTAATGTGTCCTAAAAAGACCCCTTTTATCTTTGCCTTAAAAGAGTAATGTCTTTATTTGATTGCATTGACAAAAGTAAGCACCAGTTCGAAGTTTTCTATTATACGGACCAGAGTGTTTACGGAAAACCGAATGATTGGTGGCACTCTTCCTGTGCGACATAATAGTTATACGAAAAACAGCTAGAAGAAAAACGGCCAGAAGGCGACTAAAAAGACGAGAAACGTTTATCTGCGGATTGGCATGCTCGCAGTATATACGTTCTTTATATACCTTCTTAAGCAGTACTTTTTAATGTCTTATTATCACTAAGCATCGTTTCTGAAAAGCGCATTGGAGACAAACTTTCACGTATCCTTTTGTTAGGTGACTACTTGTGTTTTAAAGTCGACGCCTTAACGTGCGATTGTATGGGAATTAATCGATCATTGTTGTTAATGCGATACAGGCTGATATTTTTGGATATATTTCATTGACTTTCATTATATAATCGTATTCCATATTGTAGCGTATCCTATTTACAACGAACCCTACACTGTAAAAAATGTTAACTAACTTCCGTGTTATCATGGCAAATCTCACTAACCTAAAGCGTGTAAAGTTTACACGCATCTACTGGTCAAACGTGTTTTATATAACACGCTTTTAAGAAAAAACGTGTTATGAAACTAAGACATTAGTTTTCGACGTGGTGTTGACCTACACGCCTTTTGCGTGTGACCGTGTTACTTAACTAATATCTACCTGTCAATGTACTAATATTATGCGTGTAGAGTAACTAAAAAGTTAGTTATCCTGGCAAATCTCACTAGGCAAAAGCGTGTGAAGCTTACTAGCATTTTGCGTGTAAGCGTGTTTCCTTTTGTGCGTGTTATGTAACACCGAAGTCAGTTATCATGCAACTAGGCATCGCCTAGTTGCAGGATAACTAACTTCGGTGTTACATAACACACACAGAAGAAACACGCTTACACGCAAAATGTGAGTAAGCTTCACAAGCTTCTGCCGAGAGTTGCACAACGTGCACATGTTATCCAGGCAAATATCATTAGCCAAATGCGTTATAAACTTCGGGATCGGGATGCAGTGTGTAAATACAAAGTTTACACGCATTTGGTTAGTGAGATTTGCCAGGATGACTCGAAACGTGCAAATATGTTTTACAGTTTATATACATGTTGTGCGTTTTCACACACCGTGTTGCGACAGGCGTCGAAATTTTTATTAAAAAAAAAAGTATCATACAGACGAGTATTTAAACACAAAGATGTTTATTCAAACCAACGAATGAAGCAACGCAACCAACCTCAAGCCAACCAACGTCATAAATCAGTCGGTAATCTGCACCGGTCGTGGTGACAAATCTGCACTGATTCACACCTGCAATTATATATAGCCTGCAGGAATCCGCACCAGCCATGACACCATACAGGCTCCAAATAACTATCACGAAAACATTGAGAATGCTTCATTTCTGTCGATATGGGTAAACTAAATTGCAACAAAATGGCAAAAATTCCCTGACCGAACAATGGTGGCTCATGTGTCTACAAGAAATTTATTTGACAACATGGGTGCAGTGACAGGAATTGCATAAAACAGCACCTCACCGCGTTCACTGGTTGAGTGCCCAACCAAAAATTAGGTACATTTAATTTCTTGTTCAAAGCTTAATGCGGTTTTAGTGTGCAACATGCTCATTGTTCAGTCCGTCATATGTACTTATAGACGTCAATTGACAGTCAACAAATGAACAGTGAGTGTCTCCAACCTGAGACCCTATAAAGCCTGGTTGGAGGTTCAATTGAAAAGAAAATGAGTGACATAGGTACATAAACCACACTAAAACGCCAGCAATATCTGCACTGATCTTTCCCATAATCACTCACCATACCAGTAAGGATGAAAGCCATTTCCAACAATCCATATCATTTCACTGTTTGACTTATTATTATTCTTATTCTTAACATCACAGCAGCTCCTTACATACTGCACACGCAACACTTATACGCCACAGCTCAGCTCCTTCACAACGCACACGTCCTCTCCCTTCTCCGACATGGCACAGACTGAACATGGCGGGCGCAGAGGGGCGCACAAAATGGCGATTTTTTTTTCAATTAACTAAGGTCTTTGTAATGCTACAACAAAAAGGGTAGTAAGAAAACTAAGATTGTGGGTTTCAACATGCGTTTCATTTGTTAGTTAACACGTTATATCTAGAAAAAAAGGCAAAGGAAGCATAAACAAACATGTTTGTCAAATAACACGGCATGGTTTGCACGGATAATATTTGTCGGCTTACAATGATGTTAGCTTTTCTGCTTCGATGAAATGGATGTGGTGTTAGGTTGCAAACATATGTGTTATCTGACCCGTTTTTTGCAACAACGTGTGTTTTAATACTAGATTTTGCTTGAAGAATTAACTAACTGGTTTGTTAGCATTTTTTACAGTGTAGCGAACTGCTGCATATATTTCGTTACTGCAGGATTTACTCAACTGCTCCAAGCATTTGCACCTTATCCGTGCTACTGTAATGAGCTGCAATTGCGCGGGATAATGTCAGTTCATATCATCAGTCAACGGCCTCTAACCATATTATCGACCGATGCTCGACCAGCAGGTCCCTGGCCAGTACTGCGGTACATAGGACCGTCCAAACCAGCTCGGCTATTGACTGCGTCATATTGATGGCGGGGGAGGGGGAGGGGGCACGTGCCACCGCCGGAACTCCGCCGTTGGACGCGTTGTCAGGCGCTACCGGCCACCATCTGCCTCTCCCCTCTCTCCCCTCTTTCCTCCCTCCCTCTCCCCGTAACCACCACACACACAGAACCATTGACGATCGATTTAGCACCGGCTTCCGCGCCAGCTGACGATGACGTCATATTGGCCAGGTGGGCGATAGACGCCGGACAATGACGCTGTAAGAACGCATCATCGCCGAATATTTCCGTCATCACTGTCATGGTAAAGACTTAGGTATTAATGCCGCTGCTTCAGTGACAAATGAATACGAACGTTAAAGGGACCCTCCCACCTTCAAAAAAGTTAATGAATTGGCATGAAAGTGATGTCCCTTGGTTCAGAAAGAGCGAAAACGAATATCTACCAAATTTCACCGAAAAATATTCACTGGTTTTCAAGATATTAGGCTTTTACTTTTGTTTACTTTTTGGGATCTCTCCTGTTACTAGCGACTTTATTTGGAAGCAATAATTTGGCAGCCTTAAAGTGCGGCAGACGTTGCGCGCAAAGCAGCGTATACCACCACGTGTTAACGATGGTTTTAGTCTAAGATTTAAAAATCGTTAGATCTCCGCTGACGTCACAAATTCTAAGGGGGCATTACAATGCATTAGCCCCTTAGAATCCGAAAACTGCAAGTTTGAAATTCCACATCTTCGAATTAAAGCATTTTTCGATGTTGTGAGTGCCCAAACCGGTATTTGCAGGCCATGGCCACCAATTTGGCTATCTCAACTCAAAACTAATGTTAACCCTCGCCGGCACAGGCCATTTTGAGTCCTTCGACGGCACAAGGGGGGGGGGTACGACCCCCCTCGCGTTTGGCCCCTGATTGAGCTAGAGCTTCGCGGAAAAAACGAGCGTGTTGCCCGTCACGAGACAAAGCCGATGATACCCAATTTTAAGGTCCTAGGTCATCGGGTGACCTTCCAGGTCAGGTCAATGACCCGAAAACCGGGAAAATCGGGACCTGTTAGAAAGTCGTAAAGTGTGGCTGCTATGTGGTTTTCCGGGGTGCTGATCACGAATATCGTGGTAGTTTTGATCAGAGATGATGTCTTTAAGCATTTAGACCAGGTCGGGTCAGGTCAGGTCAGGTCAACCGGTAGGGGTTGTGACGGGTATTCGTAATACGTGTCATCCGCCTCGGATATCTTCGTAACATGTTACGAAGGCACCAAAACTACTTCGTAAATGTTCAAATGGTTGCTAAATTCGAATTCAGCTGCAAAAACTAGCCTAGAAACATGTTAAACTCGAAAAAGTGAACCGAGGTCACCCGAGGTCACCAAAGGTCAATGACCTGACCTGACCTTCAGGTGACCTTGACACCCACCCTAATGCATGGGAGCAACATCAAATCACATGTTTGAACGTTTGAAACCACGAAAAGCTTGCAATCGCGCGGCTAATGCGAGCCGACATGCGCCGAACCGCGATTTCGGCCAAACATGGTCACAGAAAAATGGTCACAGGTCAAAGGTCATTGGGGTCAGGGTCATGAACTTTTCAGGGTAGGTGTAAAATTGATCAATGCGAGGGTACTGAAAGTTTCGTCGCGATCGGCCGCTTTTTACGCGAGTTATTCGCGAAAAACCTTAGGGGGGGCTGCATCAACCCCCCCCCCCCCTGTGCCGGCGAGGGTTAAGGTGGGAGTGTCCCTTTAACGCATCATAGCGACAGCAAAGTTACAATTACACTGAATGTACACAAATGAACAAATAACTACAACACCTCTAAACGTAAATACACACCTAAGCGTACTTGCAAGTTCCACACCAATATAAGCCTCAGTTGAAGCTGTCAATAGTCATCGGGCATTCTTCAAATGAACTGAGCTTGGCTGTATATCAGGCAATGTCGGGACATTCAATCCATCGGACTCAAGCGGTGCACTGTGAGCCTCCGCATGACTCAGCTGCGACACTTTAGGCCTCAGCTGGGCTAAGCTAAGCTGTTATGCTGTTGTCCAAGCCGGTGCTGCAGGGGCCTCAGAGTCAGGACCCAGCAGAACCTGCATGGGTCTCGGCCAGACCAGCTGGGGCCTCGACTCAGCTGGATTCAGCCGTCTGTTTGGATTCCAGCCATAGCGGTGCCCAGGTCTAATCCGAGGCTCAGCCGCCAGGCTCAGTCGGAGCATGGTTCCAGCGTCAGTCTGGATATTTGGACCTCAGCCGGAGTAGTATGAGTCCAGTGCAGATCTCAGCCTGCCTCCGCTGGAGCAGTGCAAGTCTCAGCAGGGCTCAGCCGGAGTGGTGCAGGTCTGAGCCGGGCTCAGCCAGAACGCTGCAGATCCAGTGAGAGTCTCGGCCGGTCCCAGCTGGGCTCAGGTGGGGTTTCAGCCGGAACAGTGCGGGTCTCAGCCGAACTCAGCTGGAGCGGTGCGGGCTGCGCCCTGCGGGTCTCAGCCAGAGCGGTGCGGGTCCTGGCAGAGAGGCGAACCGGCCGTCTCGGTGACCTCCTGTTTGACCCGGGCTGTCGGCGGCGTGTTCTCCAGCTGACTCTCCTGCCACTCCAGCACCGAGGTCAGCAGTCGGATGTAGCGGATCGACAGGCGCAGGATCTCGTTCTTGGAGAGCTTCTTGTCGGGCGGGTGGGCCGGCACCAGGCGGCGCAGCTCCTCGAACGCCCCACTGACGTTCTGCTGGCGCCACCTCTCGCGCGAGTTGGTAAACAGCTTTCTGATGACCCGCCGCACGCCGGTCGGCGGCGCTGGCGTCGCGCCGTAGGGTGACGGTACCAGTGGCGGTGGAGCGTCCAGCTGGAGACTGGCTGAGGGAGAGCCGCAGGGGGAGCCGCTGTCGGAGAGACTCAGCTCGCTCTCCGACTCGAAACTGGCCGCCGCCTCGACCGGCGACGAGTCCTGCTGCTCCTCCGTCAGCATGCTGAAACAGACAGAGCGGAGGGTGACAATGAGATTTGGTATCTCAGTGTCCATTCAGCAGCTCAAGTCAAGGGTAATTAATGCACCTAAGGGCCTCTCTATAGCCTAGATAGTAGGCATCTGCCGCGTGCTCAGAAATCCTCCACCAAGCACTTATCGGGGCCTCGGTAGCGCAGCGGTCCGTTATGTGTTCAATGGCTCTAAAGGTAGGTGGACAATCAGATGACTCCATGACTCTCGGGGGGGGGGGGGGGGGGTATAACTTTTAGCTTCAAAGTTATTTTCTTTATTGTTGGGTTAGGCTTTTTCGGTCTCATGAGACTATTTTAGAGCCGGAAGGATTATAGGAATTAGGAAAAGACCCTAGTCGTCTAGGCGGGCACCCTAGTGAATTGTCGGGGCTGAGCCCATCCAGAAAACAGGCCACCCATTCCCCAAAACATTCGCTGCACCCGGCTACGGGCTTGCTCCAATGGGAGCTTCTTGCACGGGATAGAGTTTCCTGTCTAGCCCGGAACATGGGGCTGAGAAGTGGAGGAGAAAGTTTCGCTTGTCCTGGCCCCTGGGGATGGAAAAGACGGAACGGTGTGGCTTCACAGACCCCCGCAATGGGCGTTTAAAAGAAGCTCGGAGGGCCCCATTGGCGCGGAAGTCAAGAGTCTCTCGGCAGCGCACAGAACGCATTCTATCAATTATCGGAACACTCTCCCCAAAACGTGGCCTCTATATGAAGACTTCCCTGAATATCTGGCTCCGAAAATGGTATTAGTTCTTTTGGCGTCGTATTAAATATCAACAAACAAGTTTAATAGAATGGAGGCTAAAAGCCGACATGAAAAGAGTGCAAAATGCACATCCGCGTAAAAAATCATTGTTTTTTATCCATTCACTTTATGTTTTAGGAGGCCCTTTTCCGTAAAGGTAAATGTAAATTAAGAATGTTTTTTTAATTCCTTCACTGTATCTTTCGAGCAAGCCCTTTGTCATTAAGGTAAACGTAAAATAAGTAATAAAACAATGATATAAAAAGGTATAGCCCCACTCATCCCGAAATGCATCAACTTTCAGATGACAGCTCCTTTTACAAAAAAAACACATGGAAAATGAGACGTTTGGGCGAAACGAATAAATCGGTAAACCGCAAGATTGAAGAGGAGACCCACCCATTTGAAATACCTAGATTCACGGAGTGACCAGTTGCGCGCCTCAAGGGCTTGTTCCTTGAGACGGATCGAGGCTGGGACCACGGTGGCACATCAACTGCGGTGGCCCGCGTCAGCTCAGCCCAATGTTGTCGGCCTTGTGCTAGCTGAGCCCATGGTGATGACTCTGTTTTCAATTAACACAGAGGGGTTAAGGATAAATAAAATATACCGGGCGGTTGCCGATATGTATATCAGGCTTTTTAAAAGCGTCATGGGGCCGAGTCGCGCCGGGTCGGGTCGGGCCGCTAATAACTGATGCTTTTCCGTTAAGCCACAGATGAACTATGTAGTTCACCCTCTGCGGCTTGTTTCTTTGTTCATCAACCGTATTTCTTCGTCAAACAAACATATTACTTTTTTCGAAATGTCCTTATTTTATATGCATAATGCATTTACCACTGGAGATTTAGTATGTGACATGATTCTTTATTTGCATGTCAATTATACAGCCTAGTTTTACAAGCATTTGCTGGTGCTAGGTCACAAAATGGCTTGAAATGGGAGGAAATTACATATATTTGCAGCCTACATACCTACACATTCGCATCGCCGTAAAATATCTAAGAAAAAATAAAAAAAAATGGCCCTGGAGCCACACAATTTATCAACACCATTTCTACAGCATATATAATGCATGTGCTATTATCATACGTTTTTAGGGAATAAAAAACTTATTTTGCCATCCGCTTTCTTTAAGCAATTAACGGCAAATATAAGAAGTGAGCCCCATGCGGCCTGCCACTAAAAAGGTGAACGGATACGCAGCACATTAACTATGTCGGCTAAAAAGATACTATAGGTATAGCGATAAGCTGTAGGCAATTAGCCACTGCAGGACAGGTTTTAACAGTCAAGTGGCGCATTGTCAGTCCACTGAACTGCGGTACCGGTAGATACCTGTAAGACGCAACAGACATGCATGAATTCCACACAATGCTGTGTGGACTATGAGTGTGAATTATGTAACTTACCTGACCACGAATGTATCCTCCTATGTATGGCACCACAGCGTCAATAGTGAAAGCTTTCTTGTCCGAGAGTCTTTCCTCCTTTGGGACTGACGTCACGACCAATGGGTGCCCTCCATCGTCGTTGGGCGGGGCCTCTCGACACGGAGGCGTCACCGCCGGCGAAGCTTTCCAGCGAAGAAAAATCAATATAGCTGCAATGAGTCTGAATGCTTGAGTCGTGAGACACATACACATGCAGCGTCACTTACTGGAGCTCAGTCCTTGTTCATTATCCGGGACTCGATTAGAAGAGACGGATCGGTTGATATCGGCGAATGAAGAGGACAACTAACCCGCATAGCAGGGCGGTAATGCGGCACAGTATCAAAAGACCTTAACGCCTGCAGCAAGACATAGCACTGTAGAAGAGCTGGCGCGTGTAATGCGGCACAGCATCAGGAGACCTTAACGCCGGCATCACAGCATAGCACCGCAGCAACTGACGCGTGTGGTGCGGCACAGTATCAAGAGACCTTGACGCGACAGCAAAACATAGCATTGAGGCAGCAGCGCAGCTGGCGCGTGTGATGCGGTGCAGTATCGGGAGACCTTGACGCCGCGCTGGTAGCAAACCACAGCACTGAAGTTGAGCTGGCGCGTGTGATGCGGTACAGTATTCTGTGAATACGGTGAGCTTCAATTATTGCACTTTGGGAGCCATTGCTGAAAGGTATGTGAGTCTTGTCAAGCTTGATGTATTGCGGGAAACGCTCATCCAATGTCTGATCATCCTGTATCCAAACACACAAAACATAATGGCCATCAGGTATGCAAGGTTTACGAAGCTAAAATTTCTTTTCAAAGAGGATGCTGGCTCAAGAGCTGTTTGTAGCCGACAACTAAAAATTAAAAGTCAAATAAGCCTAGCTCGAAGCAAAGTGCTGGTTACAAAGGACGAATATTAGCCGTTTTCACGACGGCCCTCTGGTACACATTTGGTGCACATCTGGTACAGATTAGGTGCAGATTTGGTCAAATCAGGTTCAGTGTGTCTCTTAACAGCTATCAGCTAGGGTTGCACTAATTGCTTATATGCCTGCCTTGTCATATTATCAGAGAGCATCATCGATTAAAACACTGAAATGAATTCATAAAATGAAGATATTTGCTGTAAAAGAGATTAGGTGCAGATTTGGTCAAATTAGGTGCATTGGCCGGATAGCCCGTCGTGAAAATGGCTATTGGCGATCTGCAACTTCGCCCAATTTTCCACATACAGTTCTCAGAAACATACCAAATAGAACACTGATTATGTACTTGGCATACAATTACATTCTGAATTTGTATGCTTACGAGGAGGTACCTATATGCACTGACAGAGCCCGTATAGCACACAGACTAAGACACAGCCGTCAGCCAACTTGGGGGATGCGGGAAGGTCAAAGGTGGCTATACGAGTACGAACATGGGGGATGGCAGGGTCGTGAAGAGTTTCTCCGAATTTCAAAACTTTCCCTTGCTGATGTACGTGTATGTATAGCGGTGCAACTTAAAAGATATTGTTGTTTTGATAAGAGTTGAATGGCGGTTTTATGCAAATTGTGAGTAACTGGCCAATTTTTAATTAGAAAAGCTCGGACGTTGCAAACCACTTTGGAGGGGACATCAGCCCTGCAATACACTTTGCAATCCGTAGGTAGGTGACATGCTGTACCGCTCTATGTCCTCAATCTTCATACCAAGCACGAGCATGCTAAAATATTGCGTGATAAGCGACAGAGCCTACCAGTGTCATGCCAGTCAACTGCTGCGGGTGGCCAATAAAGGGTGGAAGAAAATTCCATAGCTATCTAAACTATATGCCTGCATATACGTTACAGTGGTCTGCATTGTGTAATGTTTACCCTGTAGTTCGTTGAACACTCCAGCAGTCTACAGCTTCCCTCAACGCCCCGCACGCCCCTGTCACCCCCTCCTCTCCCTGCGGCGCCCCCTCCCTGGTCACGTGTCATCACTGTCGCGCCACTGCCCGCTAATAAGCTGGCGACGGTCAGCGGCAGCGGCGTAAAATCGGCACTTACAGCGCGGCGGCCGGCGGCGCGCCCAATTTCGGCGCGCCGCCGCCGGTTATTGGCGCGCCACGTGAACGGAGCGCGCGCTAATCGGTTTAGTCGCCGGCTCATGTCGTCAGGGGCCGCTCGGGCACCGCAGATAGACGTTATTGAATTGAATTACGATAGGAGAAGGCGATTGTTGATGCAGAATTAGTCGAATAACTACGGGGGTTGGGGTGCGTTAAAAACGTGTGGAATTTGAGGCTTGGGTTGAATCAATAATACGGCACCAGATAAAAAGTCACATTAATAGAAAGAGGGGCATCAAATCTGTGAAATTATCACAACAGAAGCAACGTTAAGAACATCGTAAGAGGGAAATGGTAGCGGACAAACATTTACATAAAATAAAAAATGAAAACACTGTCAGAAAACGCGCTTTTTGTGTGACCTATATTTATCTATCAATTTATTTATTCATTTGTTTATTCATTTTCTACCTGCCTTGAGACCCTGACTAACCACAACCTGGCCTTTGGATGTCCGCCACTCTGAACAGCTGGGGACTGAGACTCTGAAACAGCTCAGCGGTAGCTGAGGACAGCCCTCGGCAGCGCGACTCCAGCTAAGCTCGGAGAGCGGCCCGCGGCTGTCGTCCTTCGGTTGGTCGGCTCGGTTCAGTCGGTTCGATGGCTGTGCTATCAGCCGGCGCCAGCGGCCGTCCCGGCGGCTGCAGACGAGAGATAACACCCCTCGGAGGGAGTGAGAGGCGGGAGGGGGGCGCACGGCTGTCAGTTCACGGGTGGTGCACCGCAGTCGAGCGGCGTCCGGTGAGGTGACAGGAGTGACAGCGGGAGCCGCCCACGGCCTAGTCGCAAAGTCACTGACAGTGGCAGCTGCCCAGTCATACAGGGAGAGCTACAGTCCAGCTTCAGTCATCATTACGTAAAAACCATCTATTCAGTCACCGAAAGTAACATTCTCCCAGCCACAATCACCGACAAGGGTAGTCATCCAGAGACGCACTTACAAAAGAACAACAAAACAATTAAAATTGCACTTGTTTATTGTGTGTAACAGTGTCAGCCGCTGTAGGCCATATGTCAGAGCTTGTACGACCGAGGCGACCTCTACTCGTAGTCGACGACTGCGCCGGCCGCCGCCGGGTTGGGGTGGTCAGTCTTACTCAGTCTAGTCTCGGTCTCGGACTCGGTCTCAGTCGCGGTCGGTCTTAGTCTTGGGCAGTCTCTGCCGAGTCTCGGCAGCCCACCGACGATTCGCGCTCGGTCACTCGCCATGTGACTCAGTCTCTCTTGCTCTCGGTCACTCTCCTGGACTGACTATCTCTCGTCTGTCTCGAGTCAAGAAATACAGTGAGGTGCCGAACTGAACTCTTTTTATCAGAAGATTCCACGGCGAACATTTTAATTTGTTACATTGTGCGACTAGCAAACAACTATAACACATGTCGCACCTCATTTTGTTTATGTTTGCCAATGACTTATTGATATTGTGGCACTCGTAACCTATTAAATACCAAACAATTAAGATGTCGGACAATTCAAAATATTTTGCATTAAGGCATTTTTGCTTACAAATGAAGCTATTCAACCGTTTTTTTTTTGGGGGGGGGGGGAGGCTTCTACTATAAGTGAAATGCAATATTTTGTAGGAACTATGAGCACATTTACGATCTTATCGATAAACTTGAAATATGTCAGACTAGAATAAGACTGAATATGGAATGAAATGGAACGAAAAATGCAAGAACGTGACGTTTTCCCATGTCATGTAATCAAGCGCATCGCATCGGAGGTCCTTTAGAGTAACCATGGCAACCATCACTATCACGAATTGTTTTTATCACGAACATAAAAATATTCATCCTTTTGTTTTGTTTATCTTTTTATGTGGATAAATTGACAAGCAATGCAAATAACGTATTGAAATAAAGCACCACAAAGATGAAAAGGCAGCTCAGATATTGTTTGATTTTGTTCAACGCTGCAAAATGGTTTAGAAAATAAAACAAATATGATTTGCTTACAATTTTGGCACAGGTCTGAAATGGCGCACAAATAACTGCATTTATAATTTTATAGCTACGCCTTTATCAGAAACATTCATCTTATCAGCAAAACAATCTCTCTTAAGTGAAATAGACAATACAATCCTACCATCGTCCAGAAAATCATACTAACAAAAATAAAATGCCTGATCAGCCTATAACCGACAAGGAACCAACAAAACTGAGTGCTCGCGAATATAACTCACCGGAATCAACATTTCGACAAGCCGCTGATAGAAAACGGGGCCCGAAACTGGGCAAATGTGAGCCGTACAGACCGGATCCTGTTGGCCCGAGGCCAGTCGCCACCTTCGTCCGATTTGCACCTACATCCTGCTTCGACCATGAATGCATCAAAGTCGATAGAGAAAATAGTGTAAGTATGAATGACGTAAAACAATGGAAATGCAATTATGCCAATTGACTCTCAGAATTGAAATTGCCAATTGAAATGTCAATTAACTATTAGTAAAATAATACAGTTATTAATATATTAAAACAACTAGTGGGGATAGACATAAAATGACACAATCTAAAAGACTATTATACGCTATACAAACAATATTATGTAAGATACACGTTGACATACCTATTTCTCGTATGTACACTTAATTCCTCTGCATTCTTTTGCGTATTACGCTAATATACACTCCCTCGTTGTTTATTACTCGTCTTTATTTCAGACGGTGGATATCGAATGCGGGGCTGCCAACGGGAAGCTTCTGTGCTCCAAGAAGGGATTCAAGGCTCCGTCTACCACTCTAAATCGCAAGTTTTTATCATTTGGTGCCGATATGGTTTTTCTCAACGCCAGCCAAGATTATCTTTTTACGCATACAATGGAGGATATGGTCGACAAGTAAGCGGTATGGTGCTGGGGAAGTTTGCTATATGCTACATACCTAATAATGCCGATGTGAAACCTGTTCACACCGATCGATTTTCGTTCTTTTCATACACGGACGTATAAATAAACTGGACT